TTACCTGACGCAGTCGTCCGATGACGGCTAAGAATAAATGTTCAAAAAAGCGTGATGCACGTGCAGAGTTGTTGTTTTGCTTATTAAACCTATTGCTTTTTTCCTTTTCTCGTTGCCGTCGCCGTCCTCATTGCTTAAGCTCCCTCTTGCAATACAGTGGGGATGGTTTTCTTCCTGTTTTTGCGCGGGAATCTCATTAACTTGGGCAGGAATGCATTAACCCCGATGACGTTATAGCCTTTTGTCTTTATCTCATGAATAAAATGCGCAGGAATCTCTTTATCTTCTCTTTTTGGTATTTCTAATACAATAGAAACAATAGACCTACCATCCTTGACCGGTTTTAAAGGTTTTTAGTTATATTTTGGTCTGTAAATATCTTGGTTTTCGATTGGTTGACTGGAAAATATGACGCGTTTTCATTGGTTAATTCATGGTATCAGAGCAATAAAGTCAAACTCGCACGTGACTTACAATCACGAGCCGTAACGTAATTATTCACGTTGTATTTTCTGCCGCTGTCACTGTCCTAGTTCCGGTTCACTGATTCTTGGCGGGCAAATCGTGCATACTAATGAGGGCAAAGGCAAACTAGCTCATTTTACCACAAAAGACAATGTTCTACTTACCCCACACCCCTCCTACTCCTCCACAATTACTTTATTTTCCCTTTCTAGTTTTACTTTTTATTTTAAATTTCCATCCACGACCACATCGACCCTACATCGACGTCACGGCTCAGTGATTGTAAGTCACATGCGAGTTTGACTTTACTCATCAGATACCATGAATTAACCAATGAAAACGTTTCATATTTTCTAGTCAACCAATCGAAAACCAAGATATTTACAGACCAAAAAATAACTAAAAACCTGTAAAACAAGTCAAGGATGGTGTGTCTATTGTTTTCTGATCTGTTAGAAAGACGAAAAAGAGAAGATAATGAGATTCCTTCGCATTTAATTCATGAGATAAAGACGAAAGGCTACGACGTCATCGGGGTTCAAGCATTCCTGCGCAAAAAAGAGTAAACATCCCTACTATACTACTTTGCTACCATGCTAACGTGACGTCACACTTCTCTCTAGCCCTGTCTCAAATCGTAATTATGGCAGTCGTGTTGTGCTTTCAATTCTTTACATACCTCGGTAATTTGCATGACAAACACGTATGACCCAGCTGGGTCTGGCCAAGCAAGCTTCTTCCAAAATTCCCGGATCTGGCAAATGAGACAGAAACAAAAGAAATAATTCCTATTTTTCACCTAAAAAACTGTGAAATTGCGACGATTCGGCCACGTCCGTGAACCCCACAGAGCCAATCAGGTTAATTATTTCTCTCGTCGAGCTAAGTGAACGATGTAGTAGTGGAGTTACGGTACAAGGTACTAAACTGGATAACTTGTATTATCATACGTTTTACCCACTGTCTGTCTTCTCACTGGCAGAGAATCTACAGTTAATTTTGGGAATCAGCACAACCTACGGATTATGGGAGGCAGAGTGGCCGAGTGCTAAAAACGTCGGACTCGCAATCCGATGGTCCCCGAGTTCCAGTTCCGCTTTGGCCGCTTGCTGGTTTTGTTCTCGGTCGTCCCCAATTCAAATCCTTGGCCACGCTTGTAAGTATCCAACTGGTTGCCTCCTGCCAGTTGGGGCTTTTAAACAGTTATGTCGCATTTGATTTATTTGTTTCTAAGCATTTGAGTGGTGCGCCTGTAAACTAGCTGTATAAGCTAAGTGCACTTTCCACTACAAACAAACCCTTAAACCTTTTTTTTAAAACTTTTTTTAGTTAGTTATCTGCCAGTAGATAACAGACTTATCTGTGGGTTGCGTGCGCTATGCATGATTTCCACGAGCAATGTCGAACTGTGTTCGAACTGTGCACTTAGTTCGAGTTCGCTCGAAATAAGCAAGCAAGTAAGCAAGTGTTCTGTGCGAGAACAGTGTGGTTTTCATTATTTTTTTTTCAAAGCAATGTCTAATAAAACAATTATTAGGTTTGGTTTTTTGACATCTGGAATAACCTCATCCATAATTCAGCTTGCAAATAAGCCCAGCGAAAGAAAGAAACCATTAGACTAAAAAAGACTCGACTTAGTGATAGATAAATATGAAATAGTCCAAGTATGATAGCATTACTCCTACTCCACGATAGTTAGAATCGAGAAAAATTGCGCGAAAAAAGCGTGGGGGCTGGGGAGAGACGTAGTGGTGGAGCCTGTAAGATCCTGTACCGTAAATGATCGATTAAGCGCTTCACCTTTACCGAAAATAATTTAATAGGCACCGCGGCGCTAATTTGGGTATTAACATATTAAAGCCCCACCTTTGCTACGGCGCTTGATATAAGGAGATATCAAAACCATATCGCTTGAGAAATAAGACCTCGAACAACTCGTGAGTTCTAAAGTTTTAATGTAGGGAAATCTTGAAACTGGGTTCATATAACGGTTGGGGGTGTACATATTTGACACTAAATTGTGCATACCTATTACGCACCTCACTTAATTTCTCTCTATATTACCCTCAGTGTTTTACCCGTGGTTGAAATAAGCGCCGCACTCATATAACCGCCGCACCTATAACAGGGAGAATGAAATAAGGGCCGCGGCTCTTAATCGATCATTTAAGGTAAGCGTTGTTTTCAATACTTCATTCCAGTATACCAGCTTCTAGTATACCCTACGATTGGTCAATTGTAACAGTTTACGTCAACGCTTACGTCAATCATTTGATTTGACACGAGAAACGGTTTTTCAGGAAGAAGGCGGAATGAGTGATTGAAAAGAAACTTACAGGCTCTCCCTTTCTCTCTTCCCGCCGTTTTTCGCTCGATGGCTATTTCACCTCTCGCTCGCTTTTCTAGCTCGTCTACACTGACAGAGAGCCTGGCACGAGCTACATCACTCCCACGCAGTTTTAATGACAAGGTATTTTTTTTTTTTTTTTTTTGGGGGGTCCTGACCCTAGGACTCAAAGCAGACAATGGATTTATCTTTAAGCACTGCTACCAAAAAAATTTGCTGATTATCCTAATCTTCTACAAGTCTGTGCATGGAAAATATCAGCTCGCACTTAATAGGTGCAATAACATTTTCTTACATTTTTTTGGATTACACACCTGATAAAAACAGCCCGCCGCATCAACGGTCGAAGTTGAGTGATTCACGCTTTCGTCAATCCTTAAAATCTACAAAGGCAGTGAAGAATCAAACATACTACAAGAAGACTACAAGGTCCAGGGTATAAAGAGAAACAAACCTTTCAATTGGAATTAACCTTGGCAGGGTCCAATCTCGTTCCCACAGGCTGCGATCCTTTTGGTCAGCACCAAGGATCACTAAGCTCTGGAAGATCTCTGATTGGCCGATAAAATCAGTTCATCACATGCAAATTCATTTGCAAATCAAAAAACCGTGAGCACGTTCGATTTTATCAATACGGAGACAGTACAGACAATATGGAGAATACAGTTTGAAAATAAATAAAGCGAAGACAATAAAAATGACCCCTGGGAATTAGGGCGAGTACGCCTTTTTTCAAAAGAAAGATATGTTATTTCTGTGTATTTGTGATGTATAAAAGGGGAAAACACTTCGAGTAAATTTTCAGAGTGCAATTAGATGATAAACGGAGCGTGACTTTTCAAGTTTATAAGTTTTAGATTTCTTGACTTGCCCAGGGAAACAATTTCATTGAGATCACGAACGGTTAAGTGATGAATTCCGGGGAAGACAAGATATTTATATGCGTTTGGCTGCTCTAATATGTCAACAACCTTTCCGATTCGCGAATGGAGGTGCAAAGACTTGAAGGCTTAAAAACAACAGGCCATTTGCATGATCGCGTCATTTACTACTACGACCAGATTCCTTCGGGTTTTTGCTTTCTTGTGCAAGTTAATTAAACCTCGCTGGGATTACCAAATTTAAATGTGAAGGAGAAACGAAAAGAATTGTGGTCATAGTAGTAAAATGACGCCATCGTGCAAATGGCCTATTGCAGCCGATGTTCTCGCTGCTCCGCAGTTTCTAGCTGTTATCTGAATATTCTAATAGGGAGTTGAAGATGTCACTACGACGACGGCAGCGGCAACGAGAACGTCATAGGTTACCATTAGCAAAACAGCAGCTTTGCACGAGCAGCACACTGTTTTTGGATCATTTCTTTGCCGACTATGACTTGAGGAGCAACCACGTGTACATACGACGACGGATTTCTCTTTATCTTTTCAAACTTGGATATTTTTCTTAAGAATTCAACTCTAGGACAATTCCCCTACGGCATTAGACAAAGTGAGCGAGTTATGATAATTGTTCAGAAGTTTCAATGAACGCGAAGTTGCGTTACGTGACGCTTTCGCCGCCGCCGCTGTCGCCATCGTGGTATCTTAAGTTAAGTTAAGAAATTTTGCTATCATGGTGACTTGACGTCACACTTCTCTCTACTCCGACAAAATTATAAACTCGCATTCGCGAGAGGAATAATTTAATAGACTGCCCTATAGGCATTGTTCATACCGTGTCAATTTCCACTGCCTTTCTGATTCGCTCTCTGGCTTTGACTTGCGCAATATCAAGCCACCGCATGACAGACTGTTTAAACCAGTGATGGTAATCATCGAGAGCATACAAGTGGTCTGACCTGAGAAAGAACAAGAGAAATATCACAAACAAGGCAACTCCTCAAAAAGTAGTTACCCAAGAAGCCGGGGAAATCCGTTTTTCCTCCGAAGGTCTTCTTAAGGAGAAGCGTTGAGCGACAACACAGAAAACCCATCGTAGGAAACTACCGCAAATTATGATAAGGAAGCTATAATTTTTGGTTAACAATGAAAGTATTGACTGGTTGATTAAATTTCCAGGAAAATTTGATCGATACATTCCTTAGCTCCTGAAAATTTTGTGTGCACCAGTTAAGTTGCGAGGAGTTTTGAAACGTGATCAACCTTTTGGAAATGTTTCAAACAGACTAGCTAGAGAAAAAGAGATGTTGGCAGATAAAAACTGTGTCATTAATGTTATACCCTGGGTCTCTTGAGATTGTCTTTAGCCATAAGAAGGGAACATAACAGTCTCGAACTCAATTAGCAATATTTTATATACCACAAAGGCAAGTGTGGCCGACAAATGAATGACACAAATAAACAACACAAGAAGGTTAAGAAAATCAGCTGGCAAACCAATTGCCTTATTTACAAGAGTAGTGGAGGATTTTAACTCTGCCGCGAATAAATCCAAGTAGCATTCAGGTTGTGGACTTGAACTCAAGGCCTCCGGATTGCCAGTTCAACGCTCGAGTGCAAGCTTTCGGTGCAACGATTTCCTGGATCCGGTTAGGATGGGCAAGAGTGCTTAATGCCTTCCTTGAATACCATCGACCAATCATAACTAACGCTTTTCCGCCTTAACGATCCCAGAACTCACTGCGGCAAAAGCTTGTACCCATTCTCCCTAGAGCTTATGACAGAAGTGGTAATAGTTGAAGTTGTGTGAGTTCACTACAGTGCATTCTTACTTGGCTTCTCCAATGCTTCTATAAGTAATGGCTTCCCTGACTGCCAAGTATAATGCAAACAGCTTTTCTCCCACAATATCAGCACCGCTTTCCTGTTTGAGGCGCTTGTCTATGTTCCTCATCGTGTTGTGGACATCAGAAGCAAGCTGAAAACAAAAATGCACGAAATGGTTTGAACTACAACAGTTTCTTAACTTTAACTAAGGGTTGAACAAAATGTAGTTTATTTCCATTTCTATCTTTATTTTAACTTCGAGTTTCTAAATTACGCTGCTAAAAGTGTGCCAATAGCCCTACGCAGAAGTTCTTAAGGTTTCGTCACGCGTTCCTTCGTCACAATTGTTGGGTAGTGTTGCGTGACAAGCCACAGGCGGCCCAGACGTAGTATGTGTCACTGAATGAATATATTAATATTCACACGGACAAATTAATGAGATGAGTCGTCGAAACTCCCATGGACTAAAATAGTCCAAAAGTCAAAATATAACAAAACAAAGCTAAGATACCTTCAACTGAACGTATCCTTGTCTTTCCTGGCCGGTTTAAGTGGCATTTTGTTGAGTTTTGCAATTGTAGGTACTATCTACTAAAGAAGAATTAAAGGCTGGCTACAAAACAAACAGACCATCTCCACGCGCCTTCACACGAAGCGCTATAAATTCGAGAATAATCGACGAATCCGCTCCAAATAGCCATCGGCTAATCTGCAGGTAACGTGTGCTCCTGCTTCTGGCTCGCTTGCTCCACAAAACCCATCGCAACTGCACAATAATTGCTCGCTCATCAACAACCACTGTTGACCTTTACGCTTCGATAAGACCGCAAACGACCAGGTTTAATACGCGACGTGAATATTCAAGCTTAGCGACCGCGTTCGCGCAAAAATACAGCACTTGCCATGGGAGGGATGGTACTATTGCTTCTAGGTCAATCGACTGACCGAAGGTTCGCTGCGTTAGTTTTGACCAGAAAGCAAAAGGCGATCGCGGGACCGTCCGTAAGTTTTCAACAGGGCAGCCCTGGTTTTCAAGTTCGAATTCTTCTAACGTTCGCTGTCTCAGTAAAATTAAATTAAAATTTATGTGCGCGCTATCTTTTATTATTATTATTATTATTATTATTATTATTCTCAAAACTCAGGGGCACCCAACGATGATTTCCCCCTAAATGCATTGAAAACACATTTAAGGCTGTCCAGAGTACTTTTGATCGAACAATGCATTCTAAACAGCGCTTACATAAATTTAGTCAGGAGGGCTAAAAGCGAAGCTAATGATTCATAGTTTGCTCATACTAAATATAAAATATATCGTGTAATGCCAAGCGGAGAAGGCAACGAGACAGGGCCACCCAACGACTGTTTCTTCAAATACTTTCAACTGAAACACTTTTGTAGCTATTCATAAAGTACTTTTAGCTCTATAGAAATGCATTCTAAGCGGCGCTATAAAATTTGCATCTCAGTGTTCGGCCATTCTAGAGGAACTTGAGTCTTTTCGAAATTACGAGGAATTCAGAATTATTTTCCCGAAAATTTTAGATGCAATTTAACGTATTACGAAGGAGATAATTTTTCAGATACCTTCTTTCATCACATTTTTGAATCCGAAAATTTTATGATTCCATTTTACTCCTACGAAAAATAGCCTAACCCGGTGAGTGAAATGTGAAAAATTAAAAGTTGGATGCCCTTGACCAGAACTGTGAAAAACAACAATAGGTCTAATTGCAGCACACTTTCTTGTACATTTCCTTGCCGTTTATTTGCATGACTGCAACGTGAAACGTCCAGAAAACTTCCTGGTTTTCACCTTTTATGGAGAAAATGTGGTACATGTTCTTGTTCACTTTTTCCACTGCCGCTCATTTTTTTAGGTCCGCTATAAGATTCGTATCTGTTTGGTGCTCCTAGGGCAAATTGGATCTTTTTAAAAATTACAAGGGCTTCAATATTTTTTTCCCGATTGATTGACCTTAACCTGAGATCAGGCTCTATTTTCGTTTCGCTTTGAAAATTACATTCCGGCGGGCAAGGCGAAACGAAAATTTCAGCGGTAGACGTTAGAGAGAATGTATGAGAACCGCTCAAATTGGGCCTGATCTCAGGTTAGATTGACCTAGAAGCAATAGCACCATCCCTCCCATAGCAAGTGCTGCATTGTTGCGCGAACGCGGTCGCTAAGCTTGAATATTCACGTCGCGTATTAAACCTGGTCGTTTGCGGTCATATCGAAGCGTAAAGGTCAACAGTGGTTGTTGATGAGCGAGCAATTATTGTGCAGTTGCGATGGGTTTTGTGGAGCAAGCGAGCCAGAAGCAGGAGCACACGTTACCTGCAGATTAGCCGATGGTTATTTGGAGCGGATTCGTCGATTATTCTCGAATTTATAGCGCTTCGTGTGAAGGCGCGTGGAGATGGTCTGTTTGTTTTGTAGCCAGCCTTTAATTCTTCTTTAGTAGATAGTACCTACAATTGCAAAACTCAACAAAATGCCACTTAAACCGGCCAGGAAAGACAAGGATACGTTCAGTTGAAGGTATCTTAGCTTTGTTTTGTTATATTTTGACTTTTGGACTATTTTAGTCCATGGGAGTTTCGACGACTCATCGCATTAATTTGTCCATGTGAATATTAATATATTCATTCAGTGACACATACTACGTCTGGGCCGCCTGTGGACAAGCCAAAGCGAAGTCTGGTGGGTGAAGGAACGTCAACGGCGTCAAACGTCCCAATGGAAGGCAGTTTGCGAACAGTTAGAAAATCCAGATGCCAGTCATTTAAGCTTTCAAATCATTTATAAAGCACCCCTCTCAAAAAAAACGCCCCCCTAAAGGAATGATGCAACAAACCCTAATCACGCTGCTCATATATGAATAAATAAAAGAAGTAAAAAAAAAAAAATACCATCAGCTCCAACTGACTGTATACTGTAGTGAAGTACTTAACATCCGTTCTGCAATGAAAAGACAACAGCGCTTCAGGGATTCCACATGAACAGCTTTTCGGTCTGTATTCAAAGAGGGAGAACTCATTGCCCTTAAATTAGATCTCAGCGGGAACGTTTGAAGGTAACCAACTATACTCTTGGTTTCATAAACCTCTCTAGAACTTAGGTAAGGATAGAGACCAGCTATTGGGAAAGTCCGATGAAGGGCCGGCGGTACCTTAATCAAGAGTACCACAGCAAAGGATGAGCTAAATAAGGTCTTTAAAAAAGATGTCTTAGTGTCTGTAGCAACTATGACCCACAAGGGGAGATAGCAGAAATCAGGGGGTATCCGGGATAGGAAGCGCAGTAATGGAGTCGAAAGGAAAAACAGAAAGGACTGCACAGTCAAATCTTCCCTATAACCGCCTAAAACACAGAGAGAGATTACAGTGTCCCAACGAAATTCGAACCCAAGACTTGCTTTACTTGTGTACTGCTCAGTCGCTCTTTAATTGAGCCATAGAGACTTAAGGACAGCTTGGCCAGCAAGTAACAGTCACGAGAGTACAGTTAGGGCGTGCCAATTTTGTGTTGTCAATGCTTTAACTGAACTATTTACAGTACGTTTACTCACACTGCGAATATCTTTCTGTAACAGGTCTTGGCTTGAAACATGTCAGTAACTAAAGCATCTGCTACCTCCACCATAGCGGATAACATGGCTTCCTCAGTCTGCAGTAACAACAAAAACACCGCCATTATCAACGATGGAGTTTTTTAATGTCTGCTCGCAATTCTAACGCTAATATATACAAAGACTTCGCCACATCTAACTAAGTTTCCCTCTCTTTACCCTAGTTATTAGCATTAAAGGCTTTCTATATTATGTAACCAGGGCCCAGTTGTCCTGCTGCGCTCGGTCCGTACTGCTACGACCTTGGGCCAATATTCCCCAGTACGGCCCTCGCGCTTGGTTAGTAAGCGGCCGCGGATAACCTCTTTTTGGAGAACCAATCCAAAAGTACTTCTTAATATGGAATTACTGATACGCGCGACTGTAGCGCGAGTGCTTAGGAAAATCTTGTATCGCGAAGTACTGAAGAGAAGGAAGCGCTACAAAAGGTAATTACAGTTTTACCAGTAAAATTCGACCAAAATCGGAATATTATTCCCAAAATGGCCAGGACTGACTTCCTCCGGACAAGACAAAATTGACTCATCAGGCTCCTTCAGGCCTAGGATAAATTTCAGACAATTACTTCGAGCCGTTTTTACTCCCTCAGTAACGTCTGAATAGACCGGTCGTTAATGCCGTCCAGTGATGATTTTTAGACAGGAATACCTTCATTTCTCTGATTCCATATTAGGGCAAAAAAAAATTTGGGGGCTTTTGATTGGACGGCTAAAAAACCACAGCTTGATTCTTAACATATAAGGGCATTTTATACGCTCCAGGATTATATGCTTCTGATGTAACTTACACCAGGTGACCAACGGCCGTATTCTATCTCTCTTAAGGAAACCTGCGGTCCTTTATCAGTTAAACACTGAATCACCGAGAGTAAAAAAGAGTCAAATGACAGGATGCACGTAGATGTACCTTGGTATGAGGTTCCTTCCAAGCAAACACCTTTTTGTACCAAGCAAGAGCAGATTCCTAGGACACACAAAAAATTTATTTATACGAGAAGGTTAAAGGGCCAGGGCCCTCTTCAAATTTGACGAATGACCAAATCTAGGAAGAATTTTTGGGCATTTAAAGACGTGTAATAAAGCTTCTTGTTATATTCCTGGACTTTCACTCAACTCAACAGGGACTCCCATTGGTTGATTCTTGGTGACGTGGCCTTGGCTAAAATCAAATGTATCCCGATCGTGATACATTAAGCAATGTACCCCGCTCGGGATACATTACAGCACGCGATCAAAGCATGGTGGAAAGTGGTGTGACAGAAGGCGGGAAAAACACTGCCAGTTTTCTTTTTCGTGAATGAACACAACAACTTGAACACAAACACGAAGTCCCAAGCTAAAAAGCAACGATTTTTAAAGTCATCCCAGAAGAGAAACAGCAGCTAGTGGAGGAAAAAGATGCAGATAATATAAGGAAAGTACTTTGTAAATCATTCATTCAGTGGTTTTAAGAACTAAATTTGTGTTGTTAAAAGTACCGAGTCGACTGTTTTGGTTCGCTCCGGTTACTCTTTTGATGCCGTTGAAGTGAAAGTCTTGAAACCAGTTAGTTTTGTTTTCCCTCGAGTCCTGATGTTTCCCTCGACTTTGTCTCGGGAACTGAAGGACTCTCGGGAAAACAAAACTAACTGTTTACCTCGGGACCTGACACTAAGTGTATAATAAAAGTAAATTGCAATTTGCTATCTTGGCGTTGTTACAACTGTAATAAAGAATTAATACCGATAGTGTCTCCAGAAGCCACTGTATACCCAGGGGTCATTCTGCATTTCCTCACAAGCTACAATCTTGGACAAAAAGTGTTGAGAGTTTTGCAATTTCTTACCCACAGAACGCCTATCTCGCGGATTTGGCTATGGCCCATCCCCTCGCCCCACCCTGGTCAAAGTTGATTATTTGGGATCAAAAATGATCCAGCCGGACTACAACATTGGGGTTTTTTTTTGGGGGGGGGGGGGTGGGGGAGTATTTGTGGCTGCCATTGTTTTCAAGAGCTTTTTCTTAAAATTAGACATAGTAACGTCCATTTTTCTCAATATTTTTGTCCAAGATAGTAGTTTTTTATACGTTATGGCAAATAGCAAGCACAAATTGAACAAGTTCATTCTTGAAAGGTAATAAAAACAAAAGTTCTTTGACAAATAAAATCTCCGATATATGGCGACAACACTTATCTCCGACTCACCTTAAGAAGATTGGATATTTGAACATTCAAAGGTTCTGTAACAACATCTTTGAAAATCTCAAGCTTGTAAAGATTCACTAAACACCTGATATAAACAAAATTTAACGAGATTAGATTCATCAAAGAAGCTGTCCGTGTCTAAGCTCGTAATTAATTTGCAAATGAATCACAATTTTGAGAGGTAGTAGAGAAACAGTGCCCAAACTTGATTTAGCTCATTTCTCCAATGGGAGTCGTAGTAGTGGAAATCACAAATGAAAAAAAATGCAAGCGAAAGTACCACTGGGTGTAACTAGCATCCTCTCTTTGGAAAAAGCAGTCAAAAGTTATGGATTAATGTATGGTTGGCGGTTAACTTACTCCAGAAGGTTGATCAATCGTCCAAGTTTTCCTTTATCAGTGGCAGGGAATACCTCTCGATATTTCATCATCAACCTCCAACAGTTATCTGTAAACTGCTTAAGGGACTTGACTAGTGAACGCTCCTGGAACAAAAAAAAGACACGACATGAAAAGGCTGAAGTGGGCTGGACACGCTGTCACACATGTTTTCTTTGATTAGTGATTATTCTCTAATAATAATCGCGGTTGCATACTAGCGGCGACTCAACTCTGATCTGGGTATAGGGGACAGGAAAGCCCCACCTCCCCCAGTTATCTTGGACAAAAACCGTCAGGTAAGATCGGCCAACCGTTTGAAAAGAGGCAAAAGCGAAAACAATTAAGTTTGTTTCCCGCGGGACTTACAGCCTGCTGTGCGTCCTTCACGCGGGAAATTTAACGTGTTGGTTGTTTTATTATAGGACTTATCTGATTGACATAACATCTTAGTAACTAACACGGTTGTTTCTTTGCACATTTTTAAGTTTCCATGGTTATCTCCCAGGATAAATTGATCTCAAACATATTCTTATTTTTTGTCAGGTAAAAGGCCTCATCTCACAGAAAAAAGGCTCTGTGTAACGGTACCGCGCCATTAATAAGTCAGAATGCCGAAAATAGCATATTAAGTACTGAAATTCTAAGCAATCAATCGTTACTGTACCTTTCCTCTTCCTTCTGAGGGTATCACCTTACAAACACTGCATGCAGTAATTGCATACAAGTTCACATCTCTCTTGTCACTTAAAATCTTAAGAGAACTTGCATAACGGTTTTACCTCTCTCTGACTAAGCTCTCCAGTTTTCCATTTCTCGTGAATCTTAAGTAACATGTTGTTTAATGAGCTATACTTCATGGGTTCTATCCAGTGATGATGACTGAACAAACTCCAGCTTCTGTGGGACAAATCATGATAGTATAGTTTAATCTTACATACATTATGCAATGTATAGACTGCGTTTCCTGTTGCTCTTTCGCTCACATGGTAGGGTGACACTCTCTGTGCCACAATAAAAGGTATCGACCGCGATTGTACGAACCATAATAAGCTACCCACGATCTGTGCCAGTCTTTGCCTAATATGGTCTCAAGGACCGCTGGTTTCCATATAATTTGTAACGATAAAGGGCGGTCTGCGACAGCCGGTTGAAAGCTGTCTCATCGGACATGTTCAGACGATCTCTGACAGCACGGGCAACTGTTTCCCACAATTTAAGTTATCGCAGACATGCCATGTTTGTTTAAAGCGATTTTGAGTCCAAATGGCGCAGAGCAGATGTCTGCGGCGTGAAGCAGGCCTGCTACCGGCTGTTCAAGTTGTCAAGGAGACTAAATGTTAAACAACGCTTAAGACAATTGTCCACACCTGAAGGTAGTTTTAGGAACGTTATCAGTAGCTAACCACTACTCTTACTAAGATAGCTAGAGTCACTGTAGAGTGATTGGTTTCTCTAGAGCACCCATACATGTAGATAATTATTCCTTACTCCTGGACTATGACTCCCGAGAAAACTGAAACGTCCAGTGCCAGACAGATGGCCAAAACAAAACTAATAGCAAAGTTACAGAAATTTTAGGTAATGACTGACTACAGTAGCAAAAATTGAACTCACATGCATGCCTGTTGGAGTTCTGTGAGTTCGTTTTGAAGAGCATGCTGATGAAGAATAAATTCTGCTTGAGGACACAGCTGATCGTAACTTCTTTTATTGCTCGGTTCCTAAAGAGTGAAAACAACACCTCAAGTTTGAATTGCTCGAAATTTTTTGATGGGACTCTCAACCCTCCAGTCAGTTATGCATACATGCTATGCTTAAAAACTGACGAAAGAAGACAACGTAGTTTTTATTTTTTTCACGACAGCCTCTTACCTGATGTTCAGAGCCGTAATTGATAAATTCTCTCAATAGAGCACCATATATATCTATGGCTGTTGGATAAAGATGTTTTATCTCATCCGGTATGTCAGGTCTCTGCAAAACAATAACGTAGAAAAATGATCAAGGTTAACCTTTTTCTCAAGTAACAAATTTCATGGGCCACCTTGAATTAGTACGCAAATATTCTGGGCATCTAGGGGTGGTCACGGGCGGAACATACAACTCAGGGGTTTACGGGGAGGTAAAACCTGAGGATTAGGGGGACAGAATTAAGAGATTTGCTGGGGGACCAGTCATTAAATGATTCGTCATATGGCACGGCCAAGACACGAAACGTCAGAAGACCCAAAAGGAGTACAACGGTTGTTGGCCAACATTCACAAGTGACAATGTATTATTAACCATAGACGACACAGATTTGCAATCTATGGCTTAAACTCCTCCCTTTTTTCGGGAAACAGCTATTTCACTCGACCTCGAAGTAGCCAACGAGAGGTCTTATCAGCAGTCCCTACAATATCAGCTGTAAAGTGATTTGTAACGCTAGGTTGATTACCTTTCCAGTTGTCAGCGTGATTTTTAAGTGGCAGTCGCCATCTACATGTGACTTGGAGGAACGTCCTTCAAGTTTAAACCATTCGTCAATGCCACTCGATGGTATATTCTGGGAGACCAACCACAGATAAACACGCATGAAAAACAAAAACAACAACAGCTTAATGTGCAATACGTAAACTGGAAAGCAAGACTTTTTGGATCAAATTATATGTTAAGAGAATGAGAGTTTTAACTTCTTCGAAATGATTATACCAAGGAACTGTTATAGCCTTTTTCAGTCGGCCCAAAACAGGATGTACTTTCCAAGACTGCTACCTTACTCCCCAAAATTTCTCACACACTGGCAACTCGGGGCCATGCCGAGCCGACCATGCAACAACCAATGGCTAACGCGGATAGCATGTGGATGGGTTCGTAAACGTTTTCCTGGGAAAAGTCAAATACCAGTATCATTCTTATTGGAAGGTCTTTGAAACTAAGAATATTTAATATTTCCCAAATAATAATATTAATTGATATTTTCCTTCACAGCTTTCATATCGTATCCTTGGAGTTTACCAAAATCTTGGTAGAATTAACCAAGGGCTTCCCGCTATTTTGAACGGAACAGTTACAAGTTTGCCCCTCTACAACCTTCTTCAGTCTGATCTATCGATCTATAAGCTGCTTGTTACCTTGATTGGTATTTCAATAAATCCGAGAAAATCATCAATATTGCCATCCTGAACACAAGTTGATTTTCTCGCAGACTGCATCACATCTTTAAAAAACCTGGCAACAAAAACGAACCAAGAACGTAAAAATACCCTCCACATTTCAGCACAAAATAATTTCACGCTTTTAAAATACAGGTCTGACAAGGGATCTATTATAACAGAGCTTATAGAGAGTCAATAGTAAAGTTTTTTTCACACTTATATAACAACGTTCGTTCATCGTGCTGAACACCTCTGTCTTCTCGGCTCATCGACATACGACCAAGCTTGTTACGGTGGTAAAAGCATTATTGTTGATCTGAGTTCTCAGTGACAGGTGAATAAAAGATTTCAGGCGCGGCCATTTTGCCTGTTGTTACTGTACCTTCCCATTCCGGAGAATCCTTTAATTTTTGTGATTTTGTTATCTTCTTCCTTCAGCACATCGCTGTCGTCACAATCCCTTCAAACAGTGAAAGCAATCCTTGGTATCAAATAATGTATAACATGAGCTAATAAAGTCAAATCAAGTTAAACGCTAAAAATACATAACCAGCAGTTTAAACTCTACACAGATCTCTGGTTATAATCCTAAAATATTTAGTTTAATATGGGACAATATTCTACAACTTACCATATGTCAAGATGAAATTTTTCTTTATAAGAATTTGTAACTTTCCTATTAAAAAAGAAAACAGATTGACCAAAACACAAGCATATAAAGCAAAACACAAACCAAAGGGCAAGAATATGGTTTCGGTACAGCTCGGCTCGGAACGGCTTAGGCCATTCACACCTGAATCGTCTGTGACCGCCCTTGTAGATCTTTGTCCCTTATACCACCTATGACGTCATCACTTCAAACGGCCATAGACAACCTTGACACTTACAACTGTAACATCTGACTACTTCAATGGAACCAAACCCACTACTCAAAATGGTATCTACTATTTATGGTCTCTGTCCTCAATTATGGCTCTTTATTTTAGAGTAATAATAAAATGCTGTTTCCTTCTATCGAGATCAGCGGCTATATGCTACACAAGCACTATGTTTCGTTTGAGTACTGAAACCTTACCGCTTCATGTAAACTGTCGAAACTACTTGCAGCAGATCGAGCAAGGATCGGAGTAATCTTTCCGAAAGGTTTATTTTATCCAGATATCAGGGAGTCCGAGTTCTAAACCAATCCACCTAGTAAGACTGTTCATACTCGACTATTTTCCTGTAAAATCGTGGAGAACAAGCACGCGCGGGTATAGCCACTTTGGTTTGACTCTAGCCTCGTCAAACCTAGGGATCAAATCTACTTATAATTAGGGGGCGGGGGTGGTTCCGATACCAACACGGCCGCCAGTAACATAAAGCGCTCGATCTAGACGATCTTACTGAAAACTAGCTGCTATGAATAACTTCAATCAAAAATGTAAACATTACAAATCTGAAACCGCTAGATCCAAACCCCAAATGACCGGCGCGTGATTTTAGAGAAGTTTGAGAGAACCGGCAAACAAAAGCCGAACGGGAAAAAAGGCCCGACCATGTGACCTTGCTTTTCCCGCCTTTTTTTCGCATTTGCCGGCTGCTGTTTGCAGTCCTTGAGGAAGGCTGTTATTTTTTTCGTTCCTGAATGAAGCTGGGTGAGTGTCCTCTGTTTTGCCGTTTTTAGTGTGTTGAAAATGATTCTTCCACGCAAAAAGTTTCAAAAAGCTTAAGCTTAACCAAAGTCCTCAAGCCCTCTAGCGCATGATTAGAATATATTCCGCGTTATACTCTGTGAAATCATAGCTTGTCCCCTGCACTAACTACAGTGGTGAAATATAGAGCCCGTAAATTCGGTGAGAGTCGAAATATGTGTGCATTCCGTTTGTTATTTGGGACCTCGGTCGTGCAAGCTGCCATATAACTTGCTTCTATATATCAAACAATTGCATGATAATGATGAAGATGATGACTTGGAAAGTCGAAAGACAAAACAGATTGACATCAACTTAGTTCATGGATTTTGAAAAGTGGCTAAGCCTAGATTCCAATAATGTTACTTCTCTGGATAAAACAACGCTGCTCACATTGTGAATGCCTCATTCCAGACCGGGTTCAAAGTATTTTCTTTTACGCTTGTCACGTGGATTGAATCTTCATCAAGAACATCTCTGACTGTCATAGATTTCTTGCGGTGCACTTTGGTTTTTTTCATCTTTTCTTCAATTTCATCTGACATTAATCCTAACATACAGTAGGGATCACTCAAACCTGCCAATATTAAAATTTGATTGTCAATTCATAAATAAACAGTAACATTAAAAGTAAAACCAATTAATAATGAAAGAGTAATAATTAAATACTTATAATAATAAAAATAATACTATACTACTACAACTACTGCTGCTGCTGCCACTACTACTACATTGTAATAATAATAATAATAATAATAATAATAATAATAATGGTAAAAACAATGAACAACAACAACAACAACAATCAATCAATCAATCTTTATTAGTGCTCCGGGTTGCATGTCAGTGAGGAACACATGGTAGGGTGTTAATTAATAACTTGAGAATGAAACAAAGGAATTGTAAATTACATGTTATTTTGGTATAAAAACTTTTTATTAAAACTGAAGAAACTGTCACAAGCTATTTACAGAAAATATATTTCTGATGAATATATTTTGCATAAAAATTTATGCATTTAAATTACATGTAGAGTACAGTGTACAGCTGTATCAGTTTACGGGAACACTAGATCATGTAGTAATTACATTGGTAATAAACAATAAATAATAATACATATGTACTGTAAGTAATTAAATAATAATAATAATAATAATAACAATAGTAATAATAATAATAATAATAATAATAATAATAATGATACCATTTGCATCCTTTGCCTCCAAATTTCTGGCCTCCACAACTAAATCACAACAAAATGGATGTTGGCTCACAATTAGAACATTACCGGTAGTTGGTCTTACTAACTTGAAAGAATTTTCTCACACACCAATGGTGGCCATGCCAAGCTCACTACGGCAGCCTGACATGTATTCCAAATTCCTAAAAATGTACACATAACATACCCCTAGAAAGGAGAGACACTAACAAAACTACAAAGTTGCACATTACATTTAAACAGCCTACAGAACTGAATCTTAGGGCGGGTGGGTGGGTGGGTGGGAAGGTCAGTAATGGCGGATGCAACAGGCAACCAACAATAGTGTGTGAGAAAAACATAATTTTCCACTTATTTTGCTAAACTCAGCCAGTGGAAAATTACCCATATTTCACTAAAAAAGCCCCCCTTCCCCCAACCTAAAAAAATACAAAAACTAAACTAAAGCAGGGAAGAATGACACAAATATAATGCCAAGCAGTGCATTATATTATACACTGTATCTCTCATTTTAGCACAAAGAAATGCATTTTCTCCAAGTAATTATTTTAGAAACTGGAATCAACAGCACTGTATTAATGAAATTGAGAAATATATTTCAACTAAAAACTAACTACAAACAAAGTTCTGGACCTAAGCCTAAAGTATTGACATTGCAGTGAATGAGTGACAAAACTATTCTTATTTATAAAATAATAAAAATTTTCAAACAATCACCTTCTACTTTTATCACACAAGTTGGAGGCTAAAAAATTAAAACAAAAAGGAATACAAAACAAAACAACAACAAATGAAAAAAACAAGGAAAGTGTTAGAAAGCTCAGGCATGCAGATGACGCACAACATGCCAGATGCAATTACTTGGAAAATGGAAAACAGCTAAAGCCTAGCTAAGGTTGTGACCTTACAACAACAGACATTAAAATCAAAATAAGGCTTTAGTTTGCTTAAGTTTTCATGTAAGTGCACTTACATGAAAACTCATGGTGAATCATGTTCATGTATTTGGTTAAATAAAACTGAAGACCTAGAAAAATTCATTAAAAGAGACACTTGTCTGAGACACTCTGAGGTTTAAAAATGAAGGTTACTGGAAGTGGGACGCAAGAAAGTCATATTTTTCGATATGTGTACTACTCAGTAAATTTTTCCGACACTGTAGACCTAACCAAATGACATTGAACATTAAGCCGCCAATAGTAATAACCTGGTAATACGTATATTATCATGATTCACAGATGAATTAAGTGATTAACTCAGGACAGGATTTCTGCATCTGAAATTGACTGAACAGAGTACAAAAAGCTGGGGAAAACACAGGTAGGAAATGATACACACTTCTCTTTCCTTTGTCTTGGCATAGAGATTCCTGTGTTTCTCCTCAGAAATCTTGAGAGACTGTTAAAGAAACAATTTTGACACTTCCTTAACCACCAATAATTAAATTACAATGTTATATAATAACTGGTAATAATTTAATACTGAATGCATCTAACACGAAACTTGAAGAAAACTACTTATCCAGTTTGTCTACTTTTAAGGGCCTTGAATTACCTCATTATGTTGTTTTATTAAATTTTATGCTATAACATCCCAATCCCCCACTGTCCTGACCATTGCCAGAGAGAGGAATGGAGGAGACACTACCTTCAAAACACCTTCACCTTAATCCTTTTTGTGCGTTGTGGCACATACACCGTATAGGGTGGCACAGTCAGGTACTTTGCAGTAAGTAAGAGATGGGGGAATGTTAATCAACACACTAATGGCTAAGATATCTCCCCTAAATTAGCATTCAGAATATTTTATAAGATGAGCATTCATTTGTGCCCTTATATTAGTGCACTCTTCTCATCTCAGCTAATAAACTGGTTACTGGATGGGCTTTCTTATTATTACCATTAATAATTACGCATCCAAACAGGGCTTCTGATATTTCGCGTGGTCGCGGACCCGCGAAATTCAGGTATTTCCGCGAAATCCTGCGAAATTCCCAAAAATACACGAAATACCGCGAAATCCGCCAGAAATATTTCCAAATACATGTCGGCAAAACATATTTAATACTTATCTTGGCTATTAGACCTGTTCTATTCACCCCAAATGTCCAAATTTATCTTGAAACTTCGTTACAACAACGTCTCAAAACTACCAGGCGTTCTTAGATGAACGTTGCGAAAAACTGGGCACTAACCATAATGTTAACAGCTTTAGCATTCGCTCATTTCTCGAGTGAACTGTTGTTGAAAGAGCAAATGATTATCCCTATTAAAAAGACGTTAAACAGTGCTGGTTACATTAACGCAAAATTGATCGATTTTAACGAAATTTGCCAAAAAAATCCAGCGAAATCGGCTGTTTTTTACTGATTGTTTCTTGGAGAAGTTTTCCCCAAAAATTTCCCGTGAAATCGGCCGATTTTTCTCAGAATTTGCCCCGAAAATCCTTCAAAATTTGACTTTTTTCCACTAAAATCCCGCGAAATTGGCCGATTTTTCTGCGAATTTTGACTTTTCTCCCGCGAAATCGGCCAATTTTTGAGCATATTTTGACTTTTTTCCCGTGAAAATCCCGTGAAATTGGCCGATTTTTCCGCAAATTTGCCCCTGAAAATCCCACGAAATTTTGCGTTTTTTTCCACGAAATATCAGAAGCCCAGTCCAAACGTGTCAAGACTGCAGTCCTCTTGCAAAGACCACTGGCCTCAGCGCTCAGGTGCCTTGCTTTTACTATTGGGCAACTACAAAATCCTATATTTTTCATAAAGTTCAGCTTAAGGCACCCTGGATCTCAGAAAGTTAGTAGCACTGTACAGGTATACCTGCCAACTTTTTCTGAGATATAAGCGTGAGATTTTTATCCTGGGAGTGCTGGGATTTTTGAAGACGACACGATCATTTCTGATTAGCTTCCTGAAGAAGTCCGAAGTCTTCCGAAGACGTCTAAAGTCTGCCAAAGGCGAAGTTTTCACTTGCTTTTCACTTCATTTTACACTTGGTTTTCGTTCCTTACATGCGTCTCACGAGTTAACATATTTTTGAAAATTGTATCAAGCAAGATGGCAACAACTCACATTTTTCAATCAGGCGTGAGAAATTGGCCCGCAAGCGTGAGCCGGCGTGAGATCGAAGTTTTCAACCCGCAGGCGTGAGACTCACGCCTAAGGCGCGAGACTTGGCAGGTATATACTGGGCTCCCTTCAAGTTTTCTTAGAACACATCCTTTCTTATGCATGGATCTATGCATCATTATGCACATTATAGAGCAGAGTTCGCAATCTTATAATATATTTTAATAACAACACTAAACATTAGTAGATCCAGAGTACTGTAGTTACCTCCTGAGCATACACATATAAATTGCCAGCAGAGAGGTTCTCAGGTGCCTTGTTCTGTGCTCCCAACTGATGAATAACAGTATAAAGCAGCTCGCAGTACAACGCCTCACGCTGTCACAAAATCAATTTAAAATGAGACACTTCTGATCATTTATAGAAACACTTTGAAAGATAGTATAACGTACAGTCTAAAACCTTCCACACTTAAAAGTGTGCATGTACCTACATGTATGAAATGAACTCTGCACTACACTTAAGTGTGTGACTAATGGATATATGAATTTAAAAACTTAAGCAAGTCTGCTTTCAAATTAAATGCAGTACAAGGAAACCACAAGTTGTTGAAAACTTCAGTTTGTATTGGTCAAAATATTACTCAGAGATTAGGGTCTGCTAAAAAAAATATAGAAACGTGCAAACCTTATTAATTGAGAGAATTTGATAAGAGATCAATGCATTTTGCCTCTGGCGATCATTTTATTAATGTTTATAACCTATTCCCTTGATGATGTATAGATGCTGTTAAGACAAAATTGATGTTGGTCACTCTTGCTGGCACTTAAAAGGTTTTTACTGTTGGACGATTTTAACATATACGAGAGGCTCTTGCATGGTTGAAACAAATTTGTCCAGCAAATTTCACAGCCATCCTTTTAATTATCTTAAATTCACTTAGGTATGTTAATTATTGTGATTACAAAAATAATTTATTCTTGTTACTTGGCCAGTGTGTATGGAGATCAAAGCTCAATTCTGTACTCTTATTATCACAGTCCTCCAACTGCCCCAAAACATCCAGTGACCGATAATGACCTACATTGTAAAGTTACTGGAGCACCCACAAATGCATCTGTAAATTAATTCCCAGCACCACGCAATAAAATAATAATGACAATTTAAGACAGCTTAAGAGCTATAATGCCACAAGAATCCAGCTAGTAAAATTAGACAATGAAACGTTTCATGTATTTCTTTAATGTACCTGTTTGTCAGTTAATGTTGCTTCAGCAGCAACTGATGACAACACTTCAGCATCACATCCCTCATCTTCCACTGCAGGACTTAAGTTTTCAGCATTGACAACTTCCTATAGAAAAACATTATTGTCCCGTGAAGATGAAACACTATTGGAAATGCCATGTATTATTGAAGCGTTTTTGTCACTAAACTATGGGACTATTTGGGATTTAATTTGTTAGTGAATATGATACTAATATAAATACACTGGGTTGATTTAGGACACTTCTATTTGGGTACAGCAGATTCATGGAACCATTCCCACATTATCTAACACGACCACCACACAGCTCTCAATTTTTTAATCTCTAAAAATTCCTTAAAATTAAGACCCATAATAGCTGGGTTGTTCTCTATGACTGTAGTTAAATAGTTTGACTGGAGATTTTATTAAGCTGCAGCTAACTAAAATTTCACAACAACTGTTGTTACCTTACCTCATTTCGACAATCAGTCTCATGCTTTTCATTATGGGCTAGTGAATTAAACTTCTCAAAGTAATTTCCATCAAAGTTCTGAGCTCTATAGTAAAAAATTATAGAATTAATGTCAGATCTTATTTACTCAGACATTTTGATTAAGTACATGCATGCACAAGCCTCTAATTATGAAGACATTTTATAGATATCAGGGTACAAAGAAAGTCACTTTTAGAGCTTGCCATTCAGGCTAGCTGAAGGTAGCATAATACTAGCCCAAACGTCCTTTCAACTAGCCCCAAAAACATTTTGGTGAGCAGAAATGACTTCACAGTTCTTCTGTAATTTGAATTCCCCAAAAAACTTCACTTGCCTGTAGGGCAAGTTAAGAACAGAATTCACTCGCCTGATAGCAAAATCCACTAGTCCCAAGGTTGCTCTCGAACACTACTTTCTTTCCATGCTGGATATAAATTATTCCCCCAGTGATGTGCCCAGAATTCTCAAAGGCACTTACACTACATTTTGCAATTTTGTTTTTGCTTGGAACAGGTCAAGAGTGTCACAAGACGTAGCAGTACAGAACAAGCAATACATTTTATTTTAAAGGGAATACTGGTACCACTCCCGTGAGTAAATTTTAAGAGTATAGTTGAGTGAGAAGTTTTAGAAAATAAGGGATCAATTTTCCTATGTTTCTTAGTAACATTTTGTCCTAGATAAGTAGTAACCAGTGTTAATGTTAGCTTAAGGGAACCTTGGGTAAGTGCATGGGGGTAATGTACACTGTACTTTAGGACCTACATTTGAAAACGAAAATACTTCAATAACCTGAAAATCACTTTCATTTTTTATGAAAACAGAAAATCCAAGAACATACTGAAAATTTCGAGGGGCAAAAACTGAAAAACTGCTCAAAAAGAAAATGGAAATGAAACCAAGATTAATACCCTTGAGATTTCTTTTTTACCAAAACTTAAATGTAACTATATATGCTCACCAAAGAAAACAATGAAAATTGCCATTTGGGGCACTAAAACTAAAGCTGCAAATTTCTGGAGCAAAAACAATCTTACAATGCTTTAAAAAGCAAAACCAAAAACCCTTATTCCCACTTTGTTCAAAATATCAATGATCACTAATAATCAGCCTTAACTATCATGAACGTGCTCAGTGTACTAGCAGGCTGCATGACAGAGTGGTTTACTACTAACAGAACAAAAACTACATATCAACTAATTTAATCTTACTAAAGAGATGTAAAAAAATGTAAATATTCCTGATAATGACATCAGTAGAGTGTATATATCAGTATGACAGGTACAAGTAAGATATGTACTAGTCATTTCAGAACAATGTACCCTTGGATAATCCTGGGAGTATGCGAGTCTGAGCTATTTGATACTCTGTTTACCATATGCAACATTTAAGGATGATAAGATCGATGACTGACATGATTTTTTTGGTGGCAATTTTACTCAGAATAAACAAAAAACAAACGGAACATTAATTTACAGAGTGGGGCTAAATTATGTTTATTATAACCCTCCTAAAGAAACAATCATTTTACAGATTCAAACATTCAAGATCATAGATTTCCAACTTTGTAACTTGATTCAATTAGGATAAAGGAAAAAAGGAAAAACAATTCGAAGATTCAGGTGATGATTTAACATGCAATTTCACAATACCAATTAAAGTTTACTTGGAAAGCTGCTACTTTTACACCGGCACTTATTTTATTCAAAGAGGAAAATATTGAAAACGTTAACTGTAAACTTTTCCCAGGAGTCTATGAGTATACAATTAAAACTTAGTAATAATACCGACTTAACACGTGAGCACTTTTCCCAAATTAAAATATGTCTTCGCAACTAATCTAAAAACAGGTCTTGATTTCAAAGCCTCGGAAATCGACAAACCATTGACAACACGAATGTCACCCTCCTATGATATGTACACAGCTTGAAAACCGTCGAAATTAAGGAACATTTCCCTTTCGAACAAGAAACGAAATTTACACCTTTAGACAGAGTACTATGTTTCAACTGATGTACAATTTGAGCACAGAAACATGCTATAATCTTGAGTTACATAGGCAGTTGTTTCTTACCGTCCAAACGGCGTTCTCCCTTCCAAGTAAGAAGCACGACTTTCAGCCGATAGCTTTTGGCAAAGGCCCAGTTTTCGCGATTTACGAAGACGCTCTCGTTTTTGTTCCGTTTCGCCTGAGCCCTCAGGATCCGATGACATTTTTTAAGTCCCAAGAGCCTGCAAAGAGGCTTTTATAGTAGCTTTAAAACATCCTGAGCTTCACAGATCTGATCAGGGTAACTTTTGTCACTTTTTGAATATTCTTGTTTGACTCATTTGCATATTGCAATGAAGCGGGGAAGGTGACTAACTGAATTATTCCAAGAGTTGCGATGGAGATCGGTTCAAGCTAATAACCCCCTTATAATGGATACGGCTGTTCTATCTCACAACGTCATTAGTTAAAGATACTAACTACAGAGAAACATAATACTGTATAAATACTTTTAGTCCATTCCCACAAGAGGAATCTATCCACCCTTCAAAGCTTGCCTATCAGTTCACAGCTGATCGTCACGTGTGGAACAGTTGAGCATGAATTTAGCGCTCAAGACAACCACGACTAACTCCAACATTTAGAAAAATGCCTAAGCTGATTAAATGAAAATAAAAATCTCCCACAAAAGTACAAAATAAAGTGAAAATGCTGACCTTTGGCTACTGGCAAAGTCGGTTACATCAGCAGACAACTCACTTGCAACCTTTGTTGCTCCATGCTGATTTCTTTCGCGTTTCCTTCCGAATTTCAAAAGGGCAGCCATTATCACTCCACGCTTTCCAATTAACAGCAGATTAGAAAATCATTGAGACCCATTCCCTTTGAGCAAACGGAGCAAAAAACAGAAACTCAAGGATTCTTGCCGAGATGTTTCCTACATAAGAGCATCTTCGACAAGTCCCTGTTTGCTAATCTGCGTGACAAGGTATTCACGTTTTGTCACGCTTCTACACTAACCCCATTGGGGATTGAACAGACAGCTTAGCTTTCCCTGTTTCTTTTCCCTTCGTCTTTCAGAAACAAACGTTAATTTGGCCTGTGCTGATTTACTGTTTCTTTCTTCCCAAAAAGCTGTATTTGAGATTTTTATCTAAGAATTACGAACCCTGCATCAGGCTAATACTCAGACATGATATTTTATAAACAGGAAAAAGAAGACCGGGATATTGCGCCGATATTTCGATTTGCCGACCAAATATTAGGAAATAAATTTTGATAGATAGATAGATGAATAGATAGTTTATAACAATAAATACATGGGCAGCCAAAGGTTGAATTGCGTATTTACAAATAAAACTAAGCTAAAAAACATAGCATAATTTACAATTTAACTATAAAAAATTGCGATAAAACATTTCTTAAAATCATTTTAAGATTAAAAAATTGCTAAAAAGCGACGACGTTTCGACGTTAGCTGAACGTCATTATCAAGTCAAAATAAGTTAGTGATTTTTGGTCTATAAATACTAAAAAAAAACAACAATAGCTGATTAAAAAATTGTAACGTGAGAAAATATTAAACAAAGAGTTTCGCACGTATGGAGTCCGTCTGAATATTTAAATTGGGCTTAAGCTTGATAATGACGTTCAGCTAACGTCGAAACGTCGTCGCTTTTTAGCAATTTTTTAATCTTAAAATGATTTTAAGAAATGTTTTATCGCAATTTTTTATAGTTAAATGCTTTTCAAAATCACTTCTTGTTCGTATAATTTACAATAAATCAATATTTAAAATATTAAAAATTCATGCATATAATTTATAAAAGCATTGAAACCGAATCATGGCAATCATTTAATTGTACTTTAGGCACGATGACAAAATAAAAGTGTTCTTAAAACGGTCCGTCTTCCACTTTGGAAGTGCAAAGTGTCAGTGATTTCTTAGGGCCTGTTTACATGGAGTGGGGGACCCCGGTCTAGTGGGGTAGGTTTCTTTTGTTTTGTGTCCGCCAGAGCGTGAAAACAAAAGAAACCTACCCCACTATACCGGGGTCCCCCACTCCATGTAAACAGGGTCTATTAGTAAATATGGAGCCTTATTGGCTTCAGTCAATAGCTTTTTTTAACACCATAAAAAGTCTTTCGTTTCATTGAATGTTTTTTTGCCTTATTCAGTCTCAGTCAGTCTTTCCGTAAGGAACAAAAGAAGCCTTGTAGAACTAAAACCAACACATGTTTTCGGGTTGGGAAAATGATCAATGATTGGCAGGGTTCTTAGAACGGCTTACTCGCCCATTTTTACTGTACTGATCTAATCTTTGACTCTCTCCAGTTGATATGGAAAGGCTAATGAATCCTCTCTCACAAGGAAAAATTTAATCCCTTTAAAAACTTTTATGCATAAGAATTTCAACGGGATGGTATGGTTATAGTGTGAATGTTTTGCTTTGCAGTCTCCTCTGTAGCCTATGAAAACACCCGTTTCTATTTATTCTCCTCTCTCTTGGACGTTTTCTCAGGCTAATTCTTCTGAGGCGCTATCAATCTCTCTCTAAGGGGTTTCTGTATAGATTTTGAATCCGAAATCTAAAGTGAATCCGATGCAATGTTTTGTAGTGTAAACAATTTGTCCAACAAATTCGGATACTTTTCCGTATTTGATCATACGAGCTTGCAGTAAAACCAAAATGGAACTGTCACTTTCAAGAATATAGGGCGCCTTAGCAACGACGACGGCGAGGGCAACGAAAACGTCCCTAGCTATCAAAATGAATGCGCCTTTTTCGTTTTAACTTTTTGGCTCTTATTTCAACTGTCTTAAAGTGGCAAATATAGGTGAACTTCCCTACCGAGTCTTGGGGACCGCACCCAAGTTCGGACTCAGAGAAGAAATTGAATTTTTCGATGTGTGTTTACGTCCTCCAAACAACGTCGCAAAAGGAAATTTAGCGTCGTGTTCATACAGGTTGTAAAGAAAAGCGCGCTACACGTGCCAAATTTGTTCTTTTTTAATTCCCTTAAAGGACTCGTTTCCTTTGACGTTCTCGTTGCTGTTGCTGTCGCCTTTGCCGCCGCCGGTGCCGTCGTCCGTTCGTCTTTGCTCCTAGGATTTATCGATGTGCGTAAAAGGTTAGAAATCCGAACACGTTTTTGGTAAAAACGCCTCCCATCTTTTCACTAGATATATATGTCATTCAAGATTCGGTCCATTAGTGAATTACTTCGTTTCCCCGCACTGGAAACCGGCATTTGGGTAGAGAGGAAAAAGAAGTCCGTTGTTTAAGAAAATATACATATATTTCAAAGAAAAAAGCAGAGTTGAATGCATTGATGGAAAACTGTGCTCTTAAAATAATCACCTTTAGATATTTTGCTTTCTTTGTAGAATTACCGTTTTTTTTTTACTATTAATTCATTCTATATCTTTTTTGTGCACGACTTTTTCAGGTACGCACGTGCGTACCGTGCGTACAGGTAGCTACTCCCCCAGTGACCTATCACCATTCGTTTGCAATTGTTTTGCCATTAATTAATGGCCGTTTTGATAAGTGTTTTCACTCACGTGGCCAGCATCTACGCAAATTTATTAGAACAAAAGAAAGCGTTTGCATAAGAAAAGAGTTCAACTCCCACAGGATTGGTTTGGGACACCAACATGGCCACCATTTCATTGTTTTGGGACACCAATATGGCCGCCGTGACGTTATGTGAAAACACTCTAAACTAGAAGACGCATTATCCGTCCAGGGCCCAGTTGTTCGAACGCCGGTTAGCACTAACCCGGGGTTAAATTTTAATCCGGCTTCCTTTTTCTTGTTATCAAAAGCACTCTCTCGGATAATTTTCTCTATTCTTTTTAGAGTATCCAATCATCAAATTGTAGGCAAAAAGAACTAAACTGAATTTGAATTTTAAGCTCTAATATCTGAGTTCAAAGTTCGTACTAACCCTGAGTTATCTTAACCCAGCTTTGAACAACCCGGCCCAGAAGGATAATGCGTCAATTGTGTACTAAAGTAAACTATTGGATCTTATAAAGGTGATGTTGGTTTTTGCACACTTTTGGCTTTTGGCGAGTGGGAACAGTGTCCTCCCAGTCTAAGAAACAGGACTATCAGGGCTTGATCTGCTATGACGAAGTTACACAGTCCTATATACTAGCTCGAAGGAGTTCTTGGCTTGTCCTAATGCTGTACACACTAGCGTACACTTTCTTCCTTATTCCACTCGTTCATTATAAGACGTGAAATGAACTAGCCATGGGATTCCCCAGCCTGGTTACACCTCTACCCCTTTCTTCTGAGCCTCTGAGGGGATTGCATAGGCGTGATTACCAAAAGACCGGACTCGGGAGAGCCGAGGAAATGGAGCCTAAGGCCAGGAGTTTCTCGATTCCAACGTCAACGCATAGCAAATGTCATTTTCTTTGGAGGACATCTTGTTTCCGGGATCCATGAGTAGGAGCTGAGGAGGGGACTCTGGGAACGAGGTTGGTTGAAACAGACGGAAGGCAAACATATAAAATGGCAAACTGATCCTGGCGGTGGGCAAGGCGCCGATAAACAAGTAAACAGACGAAGAAAACAAAAAATATATTTCAACAAATTTGTTTTCTTCTTTTGTTTACTAATTCATCGCCTTGCGGTCAGGAACAGTTTGCCTTAAGATTTTATATTTTATACTACTAGGTGGTTATATACTGATCCAGGTCTACAACTGTGTGAACGGGCACCACTGAACGGTTTGTGGCTGTGGACTTGCTGCTACTTAATATTTTGGAAGATATAATATCGCGTTTTTGAACCAAAGTCAAGTTGTATTCTTGAGAGGCAAAGTTGTATAATAGTGATGGCTAACTTGTTGTGGGATTAGCATGGGGTTACGGGATAAAGAGTTTCTTACCGCAAAGATATAGGATGAACACTCGAAAAAAAAGTTTTTTCCTGAAGAGCGAGAAAATTTAGCTCTGTTCTGATAAATAAAGGAAACGAGTATTTTTAACAAAAAAAACCTGGTTGCCACCGGCAATGTAAACAAGAAATAACAGGTGACCAAATGGACCACACCTTGCTGTTTATCGCTAAATTTATCTCGCTCTTCTAGTCGATAACTTTGCTTTAAGAAGATGATGAAATCATTAAAATGCCGCTGCTTTGGCATTGCACACTATAAAACCATCATCTTCAGAAAATGGAGTTATCTTTTCAGAGTTTGTTGCAAACACTTTTATACTGCACACAGAGTACACACTTACATTATCTTTATTGGTGACGCCATCGATGTTTTTTGTTTGCCGGGCCTTGTCTATGCATAATAATGCCCTTAAAGTTCCTGTTTTATTAAAATGATCAGTACTTAAAAACTGAATATCACGACGCAGAGCTTAGCTCAAGGAAAGTTGATTTTAGGAGTACAAATTCTCAACGTAATTTTGGCTTGGGCTTGGAGTTGT